TTTACCTTTTTTTTCAACGAGTGGGCTATAAAATAGGCACTCTGATGTCACACAGGATTTCCCAAACAACCAAATGATTTTTTGACTAGTATTTAAATTTGAAAAAAAACTTCTGTCAAAAAATTTCGAAATCGATGTTTTTATAACCATACATAATTTCTCAGTTTTAGCTATTGTGTGTGTATTTATTTTATTTTATATCAGTTCTATTTTATATGGGTGATGGTTAGATTAGGGCACTCTCATTTTTTTCATAAAGGGAAGCTTTTTTAACATAACCTGTACCTCCTATTTTTCCCTCTGTATATGATTTTACTAATGTCCAATCCACACCAACAAAATAATCCCTACTATTTTGATTTCAGTCTGTGATACGTTCGCTAAATGCAATATCTGCAACAACTAAAGAGTACACATATTGGAGACAACGTACCACGTGACGAATGGATCTCTGCTGGTTATATTTTTTCTTCTTCTATTCGCATCAATGCTTTCCGCAGATTATGAGGTTTATTATACGCTACAAATCTTCTAAATTTAAAATGTTTTTCTCGTTTATTATGGCATGGCATTAAAATAATCAAGCAAACTTGTTTCAAAAGTGTCTATCTCGTTAAATATAGTTCATCGATTGATAAAGCGCGGGAAAATTCACAATTTCAATTACAACGTACAAGTTTATTATCATAATAATATACATGCTTCACCTATTATCGAATTCAACATCACAACTATACATTTCGTGATTCATCTTGAAATCATTTCGGGATTTGCAGACATTATTGGCTCTCGAAAGCTGGATACAGTATAAATATTATTATTATACATATCAGTCACCGTAACGCCATAAGTTACAGCGTGCCGTAATTTTGCGGTATTTTACGGGGTATTTTCATCCTACCATATAAGGAAATGCGAATTCCAAATAGGGAATGATTACTCGCATAAGCGTTCTCTAATAATAAAAACAAACATGGCTGCCATCGGGGTTTGACCGGACACAAAGTAGTTCGCTGATCTGTTCTAAATGTTTTGGATTTCGGCATTCGCATGTCATGTATCCTTGGAAGGCAAATATGTATAATAATAAGGATATTACGAAGAAACCATAAAGTATGCACTCAGACAGTACGCCGTCGCATCGACCTCAGCTTCGTGCATACTTTGGGGTATCCTCGTAATAACCTCATATTATACTACACCGAAATCCGTTATTATAATCCTAGGAAACGCATACATGTCCAAGAACACAATATTCAACAACCAAGTGACTGGCAAACTTATATGTACATTTTGGCCATTAGCTCATTACCACATTTGTCAACTAGCTCATTACTATATTTGTCAACTAGCTCATTACCATATTAGTCAACAAGATCAGAGTTTCCCAATGACATGACTTCGAGTGAGATGGCAAATATATATAGTCTGGCAGTTAGACAAGCGAGAAGACGGGACATTGAAAACCACATGTCATCTACGACCTACGATCTCTACGTTATTTCTTAGATTGGTGGAAATGAAAAATAATGTACGATACATGATATGAAGAGATGAAATATGCAAGGGACGTTCGGAAAATAATCTTCGAAAGGCTAGACCTGCTATCGAGCAACAATAACAAATCTCCAATTATGGCCGTGAGTTGCTATATTACACGTCAATAAAATATTTAGTTTTAACAGCTTGTAAAATCTAGGAAAATAGTGACATTATTTGAGACTTTGTTAACCAAGGGGTGAATAACCAAACGCGTCTCGAAATATTCTGTACATGCGCGACATAGATTATACGAAATACTTCCTTATTTGGTAATGAATGTACATGTGTTTCTTCTTATATCTGGTGTTGATTTTCAAGGAATATGTATGTTATTGAAATCAACTAGATACAAACTAGGAAGGATTTGATTACGTGCCATCACGTGACATTGGTTTTCCAGTGTGTGTTTGTTTGTGAATAGTTCTCACGCCTACAGCAAAAACAACACTTCAGGAAGCTACTTAATTGGGGAAGTGAAAGTTAAACATTTTTTTTTAAATCTGAATAAATCGATAAACATTTTATAAAATGCGATTGAACTCCCCGCGAAAGATAAACATACACATGTTCTTAAAATCGAATGTCTAATGTGATTAATGTCATTTGGTAATTTTAATTTTACTCATATCAAAGACCATTTGTACCAGTGATAGGGCAGCATGTATGTAATGTTTTCAAATATGACAGGGTATAAACAACACATGCTAGTTTTCACTGGGTTGACAAGAGATGTTGTCAGTCACGTCGTTGTCAGTCACACGACGTCAAAGTTGCACACATCGAATGATGACACCCACACACATATGCACACATTTCCCCCACAGACAAACGTTACTTCTGTATAATAATTCCCCTTGTCATGCGTATGGTACGCGTCATCTATGTCTAACTACGGATTAAAGCGTGTGTACACACAATGGATGTAGTGGAAAAGCTTCAACGAAGATGGCAGCACGGCGAACGATATAAACAAAATGAAAGAAGAAGACCACATCATGTCACCATGTAATCTATTCATTTCCACTATGTGTACCTTTTGAACAAATTAGGCGAGATTATGAAATCGACAACATGGGTAATTTTAAATGTGAAAATGTAGTCTGGTTACAAAAAATCATTTGCAGTAGTGGTGGTTGAAGGAGCGGGTACGAGAAACACAACCACAATTTCTGACGTGCCTCTAGAACTACCCCCAGTCAGTAGAGCATAGCGTACACATCCTTGGTCCCTCGAATTTACAAAATGGGTGATGATAACACGAACATTGGACAATATTTTAATTATAAAGTAATATAATTAGTGCAATTGTCGAATATTTCGAACGGGGAATTGTTACACTTCAAAGTTCCAATTCTTTTACAATGAAAACGTCCAATGACTACGTTCATAGGTATCGTTAATGATTACTTGGCTTGAAACACTAGACATATTAATTATCAAATCATAATATTCCTCCGATTTAATTATTATTCAGTGATAATTGGTTTTACCTCTGAATGTACAACTTGCGTATCCTTTCTGAAAAAAATTAATATCTACTCCTAATTCTTTTACATGAAGTTGAACTAACAGCACAATCCTTATAGCAACCCGCACAAAGGTCAGTGTCGCAACACTATACGAATTCCATCATTGTCGGTTCTACTCAACAATAGCCATTTGCTTTTAAGGTGGCAAAAAAACAAGTAAAACTGTAGACTTTTCAGATACCTACAAATAAAAAAAACAGGTGTCAGTTTAAAAATTGATGTTTTTTTTTCAATTATATTTATTTCATTTTTTATCACTCTAAAACTATTGTGCCTTTGATCTGTATAGATGCATTAATACGTATCAAGTTACTTCCTGTTGACACGAATCTTTTCAAATATGTACTTTGGATGTTTGTTTGGTGCGCGGAACAGATGTTCTATGACGTCTTGTCTCTCTATAAATTCGGTTTACCCATTCCCCAACATCACCACTTTTGTCGAATCACACGACGAACGCAATAACAGCTTAAATGTAAGTATAACATATATGCTAACAAATCATGATATTTCAAGAAACGTATTGCTGTTAATATGTACAATTCATTTTAGTCAATGTACAATTCATGTTTTGTTTACAGATTCCAGTAGCTTTGGTAATATCAGAATGAATTGTTTGGTGTCAGTTTTCGTTGTGTCGTTGGTGCCATTCATTTTTGCAGAAGGTATGTATTGTATTCAAGGAGCGTATCTACGTACAAATGTATTATATAAATATATAACCCGCAAGATGAATCGCAGTATTTTGTAAGGAGAGATGAAGCATTCTCTCAATTGAACTATAACTATTTTGTATGGAGTGCGTTTTATTGATTTGGCTCGAGTTCATATACGAGATTGAAACCTAACGTGTGCCCTACACACCCATCTTTTGTCAAATTCATGATTTTATTCATTGTTACGATTTAATTCAATTCAAGTACAGACTCAATTCAAGTAATTCCGCTTCCATTAAATGTGCACCCATGCACTTTACTTCATCGTAGTGTTAACATCGCCACAATTTAATTTGTAAAGCTTCATATAAATCAAGTCACATTTCTGCCTGGGTTTGGGAAGTTTTTCTGTCGGGAGATTCGAAGGTCTCTCTGTCAGGTTTGAGAGGCCTCTCTTTCAGAGTTTGGGATCTCTCTGTGTCATTCTGTTTGAATTTGAAATATATAGTTGCTGGGAGGTTACCATAGTCAAACACGAAGGCTCATTCGGCTTTGTTGACGTAACAATGGACAACATGTTGTGGGACTTGACACGAAGAATGACGTCACCACTTGACGAGTAAGCCCACCGAACATTCTGTATCATTTTTCCTCATATAAAATTGAAACGTTACCAATTATGACGAGGAGCGCCCTTCCCCGAAATATTCTGAATCTTGTAGTACAATCTACTGTCATGGAAAAGAAATTGTACAATTTGTATTTCACAAAGTACTTGAACTCTAGTAAATATCACTTTAACTAAAACTTTATATTGCATTTCAGAAGTTTCACAGTACGACACAGTATGTAACCGCGTACCTGGCAAGACCGTGGAATATCACTTGTTCACGGATGAAATGTTTTGGCTCGAAGCTCAGACCTACTGTGCAGACAAGCTTGGGGGAATTCTGGCTAGAATTCCAAACAAAGAAACAGACGATCTTATACGAAACCACATAATTTCCTCTGGCGCAGGCGATGTCGTTCAAACGGGATTTTGGATTGGTTACAATGACATCCGTGCTGAAGGCGAATATGAGTGGGCTGGCGGTAAACTTCTGTGTCAAGATTACGTGAACTGGGCGAACAATGAACCAAATAACAATACTAAAAAGAGGCTAGAAGGACAGGACTGTGTACAATTGAGGTGAGAACAATATAAATTCATTTTCGTGCAGTTCAGTGGTTTATTAATTCCGTGTACTGAAGATATGCCTATTGAGAGACTTACAGTAATACCCCATAATACAGTACGCTGTCCATTTCAAATTTCACACACTCTTGGAAAAAGATTTGAACATCTGTATGATATTCTTCAATGCGCTGAAATCTTTTGAGATGATCTGGTGCAATGTCCGGCAAAACAAATAACCTCCAATCTTCCAAAACAATAATAATATGAGCAGCTACAAATTTGATAAATGATTGTTAAAAGACATCTTTGTGAGTATATAAAATTATAACGCGTAATTGTGATTGGTGTCTCTTCAGGAAAGCTGTTAATTTTCTGTGGGATGACGAGTACTGCGACTACAGAAAGAAAGGGTTTATATGCGAGACAGCGGGTAAGTAAACACTACGTGTTATGTACTATTACTACTTTCAAAGTTATTGCTCATCTCATTTACGATGGGAACTTTGACCTTTCATTTCATTGGTTGTAATCAATGAAATGCTAAAACAAAATGACATGTGTCGTAGCAAATCAGTAAGATATGCATTATGTTTATGTTAATATCATTTGATCGACCAGACATACATTTGAAACCAATCCAGATTTGCATACGCCAAGCATGAACCTCTAACATTAAACCTCATATGTATTCAATTGATGTTACAAAGCTCATTTTGGCTCATTTTCATGATTAAAAAAACATAGAAAAGTTTATCAAAAAACACGTTTAGATTTTTTATGACACATGTTATCAGTTTCAGCTCTTTTGCACGTTGATTTGATTGTGTAACTTCCTAGACGCGAACCACTCTGTATATTATATTTTCGACTATGTGTCATTTCTTTCGCAGGGGAGAATTTGTTTTTATATATAATGTGTCTCCTATTTCCTTCTGATTATTTGATTATAATAATGTCGAAAACACCCCAACAAAATAATGGACCATCCCTTTTATTTTGATTTCAGTCTGTGATGCATTCGACAAATGCAATATCTGTTACAAGTAAAGAATGAATTATTTCCCGTACTTCTATTGGTGACAACGCACCACGTGACGAATGGGTTTCCGTTGGTAGCAGTTTTTCTTCTTAGTTTGTCATCGATGAATTCCACTGTTTGTAACGTCTATTATATGCCACATTTCCTAAATATCAGAATATCAGAAATGCCATATTTTCTTTATACCACATATCATGGCATCTAAATAAACAAGCAAACTAGTCTCACTATACAAGTGTCTATTTCTAAGAATGGTAAATCATGAGAACTATTCACAATATCAGTTGCAACAAACAAGTTTATTGTCATGGGAACGTGGATGTATTACTTATTATCGAAAACAGCAAGCATGTTTTTATCACGTTACACACTAGTCTGTCAATTTCATGATTCGTCTAATGAGTTTACATGTCTATAGAAAAGTGTCGTCAAACATAAATACAACATCTTTTGGAAACGAATTTTACCTCGGTTTATAGAAAAGCATACGGGATTTGCGGACATTGTTGGCTCTCGATATTTGGGTAAAGTATAAATAACATTATACTAAACTGAAAACCGTTATCATAATCCTAGAAAGTATATTTCCGAAAACACAATGTTCAACAAACAAACAAACAAACAATGGGCGGCCATATATGTACATTTCGGCTAGCTCATCACCATACTTGTCAACAAGCTCAGGCGGAAGTCCTCTATGACATGATGGAAAATGAGTATATATGTACATAATTGCCACAAGATTATTGCCTTATTCATCAGGGAACTTATTATCATATTTGTGGACAAGCTCATAGTCATATCCATCTACAAGTGATTACAGTATTTATCCGCAAGTACATTGGTATATATGTCAACAAACCCAGACACATGTGCTGACACGATAACGAGTGGGTTGGCAAACGTATATAGTGTGGAAGTCGGAAACGCGAGTGACGGGGCACTAAAAACCACGTGTCCGTTACTTCCCAAGATAATTCTTAGATTAATGGGAATGAACAATACTGTAAGATAAATGATGTGTGGGGATAAAATAAGAATGTGACGTTAAGAAAATACTTTTTCGGGAAGACTTGCTTATCGAGCAACAATAACAAACCCAAAATTCCAGCTGTGCTGTATTACACGTAAATAAAACAGTTAGTTTTATCGCTTGTGAAATCTAGAACAATATTGACATTTATTGAGATTATGATGGAGAAGGTTGAAATCATTTACTTTATGACCCATGAATCAATTTTATGTAACGCACCTGGCAATCAACCAATATGCAGTAAACTCGGTAGCGAAAAATGTAAACAATTGTCATGAATATTTGTAGTAAATATCTGAACTGTAAATATCAGAAAACTGGCTACTGTTATTACGTAACCTTATTATCCAAAGCAACATTCAGCATACGTCAATTACAGTAAATTGATTATAAATGGTGTGATATTTGATCGTTTTGCTGTTTGATTGATACATATGTTTGATTATACACATATGATATATACATATATATTAGCCGTGTTCTTCTATCGATAATATCACAACATCGTTCTGTTGTTATCTGGCGAAACTCACTTTATAATAGAGTGCATTATTTAACTTGTGGTTTTTCAAAGACGAATAAACTATTAATGTGAAATGTACTATATCGCCGACAGTTAAATAATTTCGAATAATATGATTTAACAAATTTATTTGAAATACCTTCAAAGTTTCATTCGTCATTGGTGATACCTATCTTGAGATTGGGGGATTTTTCACTTGACAAATCTAAAACTGTAACTGTAAGATCATGAAATATTATCAACACATTAAAACGCCAAAGTCGTGTACAGGTTGAAATCTTAGTAACCTATGAAGACCGTATTGTGAACACAAGCAATTATTTTAATTACAATTTTCGCCGTCACCTCAATATTATTCTACGAATCTAAATCGACTATATTCGCTTATTAAAATAAGTTCCAAAACGAACCACAGTTACATCAATGCAAACGTGTTAGATGAGTAATGATTAAGGGCAAAGTACGTTTCTTCTAGTGGCTTTGATTAGTGTATATATTATATCTGCACGAGTGACAACGATTCCTAGGTTTCAATTTTATGCAGGTCCTCAATAATATTGTGGAACAATAGCAACTGCTTTTGGGGGGCGGTAATTGAGAAATACTCTGAAATACTCCGAAAGTACCAGGATGTGTGACCTTTGTGGGTCATGCATAAATCACATATACCTTCTTCTATAATGTATTGTAAAATTGTAAATAAGTTTCACTATAAAGAAGTTTCATGATTATACACCTGACCAAGTGATTAACACCGCAAATAGCCAATCAGTGAATGCTTTGCAACTAGTAATTTCTCACATTAATTCGAGACGAGCCACGACATGTTACTGGCACAAATTCCCTAATGCAAACTTAAAAGCAGTTCCAGTGTGTGTTAGATGTTAGAATGTTAGAAGGGCAGTGTTTATTTTAAGCAGTGAAACCGTAAAGCAGGTGTGGTCCTAGCTGCTGAGTTGCCAGAATCAACAGAAATTAGAGAATGATATATAGATGGGGAAAATTATGTTAACCCAACTTTTCAAATTAAATAAATGAAAGCAGCCACTTGCTAACGGTCTACGCCCTCACTACGTCCCTCTGTTTCATCCGTAGTGTTTCCTACATTTATGTTCTAGAAATGTCAGATTAAATGCGTAGAAATTATGAGCTGTTTGTAAAGGTTACACAATAGTGATACATTAATCCCCTAAAGGTATATTAAAATGTATTTTCTCTCTCAATAAATCTTGACAAAATTAACTACACCTTTTGATGTAAATCATCGTGGAAAATACACCTAGTTTGCTGACAAAACTGGCTTTATTGAAGTTGGTAGTAATCAACGTTTTCTAAATAAATATTTTCTTGGAACA